AAATCAGTGGAGGTGGGCCCTGGAGAGGTCATTAAGCAGGGTAACCACTAAGCACCAACCACCATTGCTCAGATCACGTTGTTCATATATGCCAGATCTTGCATAAATGTGGGAAAAAATGCTATGGTTGGAAGCTGAGTTGTCCAAGCTCTGCTTTGAACAGGAAAAACAGCATACTTTTCCCAGCTCTGTTTTTAACACCTTTGCAAGGACTGCTTTTGAGGGCATGTAGTTATGGCATTTATTTATTACCTCTTGACCCACCACAGCCCCTGAGATAATGCACAAGAGATAAAACACTTTAAAACATTAAGTAAATAACTAAAAACTATTTAAAGTATCTTAAGCGTCTCTTTAAAAACGAGTCTGACCAAAGAAAAAGCTTTCTGGGCTCTGCTTTGGACTGCAAACCCTCTTCTACAGTGGTTGCTCCAAAGCAGCCAACAGCAACAAGGGGACAAAAAACAAACTGAGATATGCAGTTTTCCTGGTGATGCTCTTGCCCTGCAATTCCTCCCCTTTGTCCTGAACCCTGGAGAAGACCCTGAGACCTGGGAATTCAACAGTGAAAGAAGCATGGAAGAGAAGGATGGTTGCAATGGGGGAGGGTGTTATATGTTGCACACATATAGTGTCAAGGTGGTTGTCCAGCTGAAGTTTCCCAAGCTCTGCTTGGCATGGAAAACAGTCTACTGTAGCTTGCAAAGGACAGGGAGTATTTACAAGCCAGCACTCTCACCCTGAGCATCCTCCCTGTCCCCCTGAGGCTTGGAAATGAGGAGCCAGGCCCAAAATTTAGGGGGAAAGGAGGAAAAACAAAGCTGTTGTTCCAGGCAGAGGCTCTCAAGAGGACTCACCACTTCCACCGATGAAAGTGAGCAGGCAGCCCAAGAGGCCAAGGCTGAAGTAGACCTTCGGAGACATCTTGATCCTTCAGCTCTGAGGAAAGAGGGAGGAAAGAGGTTGAGGATGGATCAATGTCTCTCACCTTCCTGTCCATTGGGGGAAGGTTGGCTTGAAAGACACATGGACATCCCCAAAATGGACCACTGTGGGAGGGGATGGTGCCATTGGGCCAACTCCACTTGCGTAGGACTCATTTTCCTCCAGCCTTTGAGCAGAGAAATTAGAAGTAGACGCCTGATTGTTTGTTTTGTCAGGAATAATGGATGACCAGAGCTCCATTTGGAGGGGCTCCCCAGTTCCTAGGGAAAGCTCCTGGGATGCTTCAGTCAAGGACCATCTGTTGGGTCCTCTGCTTAGGGACCTTCCAAGGGGTCTGTCCATTCCTCCGTCCCACAGTTCTTGCCACAACAAACTACAGTCCCCACAATTCCATAGCACTAAGCCATGGGCGTTAAAGTGGTGTCAAACTGCACTAATTCTGCTGGAAAGTTGCCTTGCCGCCTCCTTTCAGGCAGCTGCTGTTCTGCAGCCCTGACTCTGAAGGAGGGCTGTCTGAGCAAAGGATGCTTGGGCACCTTTGACCCTTCAATGTTTCCTAGATAATATTTCCCAATCCTAACCCTAACCCTAACCCGAACCCTAAATAACCAGCCCTTTTCTGCACCCAAGACAATGAATGGAACCAACAATTCCCCTTTGAAAGAGCTTGCAACTTCCTGCACTGTTAATGCCTAAATAAAAAAAAAAATCAAATCAAATCTAATTAAATGCCAACAGCCCCTTCCAATGTTTTCTAATTATTTGCTTCTTTTTCTTTTGTGGCAATCCAGAGGCCATCACAACATTCGGGGACAGAAAAGTGGGCCACCATAGTTGCCCATCCTTGCTTTCAAGGCAGCCACTTGCCAGTTTGGGCAGAATTTGCAAAAGGGTGCAGCCTCTTTGCCACACTTGGGGGTAATGACCCTCTTTTGCAAAGTGCCATTATAGCTGGGCAGACAGAGAGGAGTGTGGGATGAATTCCCAAAGGCTAGGAATACCCCTCCTTCCAAGGGGCATGCTTTTGGTGTTTGTTGGCAAAGCCTATTATTATTATTATTATTATTATTATTATTATTATTAT